CTTTGCCAATACCATAATTCAAATGCATTGATTCTTCTTAAATTTGTCTTACTTATTGCCCAGCTTTCACATGTATATGAGGTGACTGATATACCTTGGCTTGGGTTGTTGTTGTTAGGTGCCATCGAGTCAGTACCAACTCATAGCGGCCTTATGTTTGGTAGGGTGGAGGGTCAGAGAAAATGAGGAAGACCGCAGCTTCAATGGGCTCAAGCATGGCAACAATAGTGAGATTGGCTTGGGTTAGGCACGCCTTAGTTCTTAAAGGGATATCTTTGCTCTTTAATATTTTAAGATTTTTTTTGCAGTAGATTTACCTAATTCAATGTGTCTTTTGATTTCCTGACTGTTGCTTCCATGTGTTGATTGTGTATCTAAGTACAAGAAAATCTTTTGATAACTTCATTCTTTTCTTCATTTATCATGCTGCTATTTATTGGTCAAGTTGTGAGGATATTAATTTTCTTTACAATTACATTTATAAGTTGAAAGTAGTTTTTAATCTTCATCAGTAAACATTTCAAGTTATCTTTGCTTCTAGCTAGCAAGGTTGTCCTCTGCATGTCACTAGTTGTTAATGAGTCTTTCTCCAATACTTACGCTACATTCTTCCTCATTTAACCTAGCTTCTCAGATTGTTTGCTCAGTTTACAAATTTAATAAGTATGTTGAAAGGATACAACCCTAGCACACACCTTTCCTGATTTTAAATCATACACTATCCCTTGTTCTGTTCAAATGACTGCCTCTTAATCTCTGTAGTTTCTTAAAGAGAACAATTAAGATTATGGAATTCCCATTCTTTTAATTGTTATTGATAACTTATTATGATCTACACCCGTACATTTTTTTTTCATAGTCAATAAACATCTTTCTTGTATTTTCTGTTATTAGCCAAGATCTATCTGACGTCAGCAATGATATCCCTTGTTGCATGACCTCTTCTGAATCTGACTTGAATTTATGGCATCTCCTTGTTAATGTACTGCTGTAACTGTTTTTGAATAGTCTTCAGAAACATTTTACTCATACTAATATTAATGATATTGTATGATGATTTTCACTTTCCCCTGAGTCATCTTTCTCTGTAATGGGGACAGACCTTTCAGTCTGTTGGCCAGGTAGAAGAAATCTTCCAAATTTCTTGGCATAGATGGGCAAGTTCCTCCAGTGCTGCATCAGTTGGTTGAAATATTTCACTTTGTATTCTGTTAATTTCTGGAGTCTTTTGTTTTGCCAATGCCATCAATGAAGCTTGGATTTCTTTCTTCAGTACCATGTTGTTGATGTTGTTAAGTGCCTTCAACTTGGTTCCTACTCATAGCAACCCTGTATAATGTTTCCCAGACTTTAGATCTTCGTGGGAGCAGAACACCTCATCATTCTCCTTCAGAGCGATTGAAGGGCTCGAACCACATTGTCATTCCCAGTCTGGAGCCACCATGCTCCCTCAAGGTTCTTGATTATATACTATCTCTTGAAATGGTTGAACATCTTTTTGGTGCAATGGCTGCATATTTCTTCCATCTTCTTTTGCTGTTTCTTGTGTCGTTCAATATTATGTCCATGGAGTCTTTCAATATTGCAATTCAAAATTTGACTTTTTTCTTGAGTTTTTTCTGCTGAAGAAATGCTGAATGTGTTCTTCCCTTCTGGTTTCCTAATTACAGTTCTTTTCAAGTTGCCTTTTAAAATTTTCTGTTAAACTCTCTTACTTCATCCATTTTACCTTTTGCTTTAGCTTTTTTCTACGTTCAAGAGCAAATTTCAAAGTCTGCTCTCACCAATTTTGAGTTTTTATTTCTTTCCTGTCTTTTTAGAGATCTTTTTCCTTTTTCCATGTATGATGTTCTTGATGCTACCCCACTACTTTTTGGGTCTTTGGTCATTAGTGTCTAATGCATTAAATCTGTTCTTGAGTTGGTCTCTAAATTCAGGAGAGATATAAATAAGATAATATTTGACTTTCATGAACTTGTTTAAATTTTCTTCAGCTTCAACTGAAATTGCATATGAGCAAATGGTAGTCAGCTTCTGGCCTTGTCTTGACTGAGGATATTAAGCTTCTTCATTTTCTCTTTTCACAGATGTAGTCAATTTGATCCCAATGTATTACATCTCGGAAAGTCCATGTGTATGGTCACTGTTTATGTTATTTAAAAATATATTTGCAATGAATAAGTCATTGATCTTGCAAAATTCTATCATGTGATCTCCAGCATCATTTCTATCACCAAGGCTATATTTTCTCCCTTTTTATTTCCAGTTTTCCGTTCCAATCACCAGTAAATATCAATACATCTTAATTTTTTTATGTTTGATCAATTTCAGAAGGAAAAAAAATTGAGAGGATTATTTGATTTCTTCATCATTAGCCTTAGCATTTGGTGTTTAAATTGGAAATAATAGTCATATTAGCTATTCTTCCTTGTAGGTTTATGGAGATTGTCCTATCACAGATAGATCTCGAAATGCTCTTTTTGATGATGAATGTGATACCATTCCTCTTCAATTTGTCATTCCTGACATAGTAAACCTATGTACAATTCAAAGTGACCAATGCCAGACGATTTCCTCTCACTAATGCCTAGAATTTCATTTTGTTTCTGACGACTTTCAAGTTTCCTAGATTTCTTTCATACATTCCATATTCCTATCTCTAATGGATGTCTGCGTCTGTTTCTTATTTTGTCAGTCAATGAAGACCCTGAAAGCTATTTTCATCTACATTATTAAGATTGACTCTTCTTTGAGGAGGCAACTCTTTATAGAAGTTGTATTTTGAATGCCTTCCAACCTGAGAGGTCATAATCTGGCACTGTTTCACTGCTATTCATAATATTTTCAGTGATTGAACTTTCATAAATTATCCACCACTCTTTTCTAGTCTATTGTAGTATGGAAGTTCTGATGAAGCCTGTCCACCATGTATAAGGCTGCTGGTATTTAAAATACTGGTGACATAACTTCCCACATGTAACCATAGTATATTGAGAAGACAAATTTTATTGTGAATTTGGTGGCTGCGGTTTTTGTTGTTATTTGGTACTGGAAAGTCTGTTTCAACTCATAGCAACCCTATACACAACAGTGCAAGGAACTTTCAATATTCTTCTCCAACAATGTAACTAAAATGCATTACTTCTTCTAAGATCTTCCTTCTTCCTTGTCAACATTCGCATGCATGTGAGCCTATTAAAAATTAGTATTCCATCAATTAACAGAGCCTAGTTTTCACCAAACCCTTCAGTACAGTTTAGACTACTTCCTTCAGTACCATTGGCTGTTGATCATATGCTGCCTCTTAAAATGGTTGAACATAGGCTATTTCTTTTTGGGATAGTGACTCTGTGAATTCCTTCCATCCTTTTTTTTTTTTTTTTTTTTTTTTTTTTTAATGCTTCCTGCTTCATTCATTATTTTCATTATTTTGCCTATAGAATCTTTCAGTATTGCAAGTTGAGACTTGAATTTTTTCTTTAGTTCTTTCTGCCAGAAAAATGCTGAATGTGTTCATTCCTTTTAGCTTTTGAACTCCTGTTTTTCGCACATTTCATTATAATACTGTTCTTTGAAACTTTCTGTTCAGCTTTTTGACTTCCTCATTTCTTCTATTTGCTTTAACATCTCTAGGCTGTATCAACTTTCAGAGTCTCTTCTGACATCTATTTGGTCTTTTCTTTCGTTCTTGTCTGTTTAGTGACATTTTACTTTCTTTCTAATATTATGTCCTTGTGGTTATACTACAGCTCTTTTGACCACCAGTCATTAATGTCTAATATATCACATTAATGTCTAATGCATCAAATCTGTTCTTGAGATACTCTCTAAATTCAGGTGGGATATGTTCAAGGGCATATTTTGGCTTTCATGGACTTGTTTCAATTTTTTTCAGCTTTAGCCTGAACTTGCATGTGAGCAATCGATTGTCTTTTCCACAGTTGGCCTGTGGCCTAGCTTAGGCTGATGATATGAATTTTTCCATCATCTCTTCAGACATACATATAGTCAGTTTGATTCCTGTACATTCCATCTGGTGTGATCTATGTATATAGTCACCTTTTGTGTTGTTAAAAAAAAAAGGTATTTGTAATGAATAAGTCATTGATCTCACAAAATTTTGTCATGCTATCTCTCATATCTTTTCTATCACCAAGACCATATGTTTCAGCTGCTTATCCTTCCTCTTTGTTTTCAACCTTTACATTCTAATCCAGTCATTATCAATATATCTTGATTGCATGTTTGGTCTATTTCGGACTGAGGTAGTTGGTAGAATTCTTCAAGTTGGTAGAATTCTTCAATTTCATCATCACTGGTTTAGTGATTGGTGTGTAAGTTTGAATAATAGTGGTATTAACTGGTCTTCATTGTTGTTGTTGTTAAGTGTCATCGAGTTGGTTCCAACCCATAGCAGCCTTGTACAGGTTTCCTCAGGAGCTGCTGGTAGGTTTGAACCACCAACCTTATGGTTGAAATTGACCTTGTGATTCAACCATTATTCTGCAGCACCACACCAGGACTCCATGGTCTTCATTGTAGGCCTATAGATATCATTCTGCTACAGAGAGCATTAACTTTAAGATAGATCTTGAATGTTCTTTTGGAAGATGATTGCTGTACCATTCCTTTTCAACTAATCATTCTCAGTATAGTAAACTATACGATTGTATGATTCAAAATGTCCAATACCAGTTCATTTTAATTCACTAATGTCCAGAATATCGATGCATATGCGTTCCATCTTATTTTTTATTGCTTCCCTGTTAATTTATGCTAAACATGCTATTAATAATCTATAAGTGATGATATAGTGCCAATAAAGTTAAAAAATATTTACTTATGAAAAGTGTTTTGTTTTTTAAAAGAATTGTGTTCTTTTATTATTTCCAAGTAATGGAAACAATATTAGTTTCATCATGAAGGAAATAATAGTGATTCTTTAAAAAAAAAAGTTGCATTTTTCACCCCATTGCACTCTTCCTACTTTATTTTTGTAGTTGTGATGAAGGTTACACTGGAACAAGATGTGAGAGAGTTGACTTGTTTTACTTAAGAGGAGACAGAGGACAGATCCTGGTGATTTGTTTAATAGCACTTATGGTAATTTTTATCATCCTGGTGGTCAGTGTTTGCACATGCTGTCAGTAAGTAGTTTTAAACTTAATTTTACGTAAATTTAAGAAATTGTATTTTTCTCCTTGTTTACTTTCCTTTCTATACTTCTCCCTCTTATTTCCCTTCCTTTTCATTTTACCTTTAGCTTTGGTTTTTAAAAGTTAATCATCATGTATACTGATGGATGTATTTATTTATAGTAAAACATGTGATCTATGATATTTTATCATTTTACTCTACAAAAGTTATTATAATTTAAAAACTGAGTTTTGTATACATCTTAGAGTTTTAAAAGAGTCTAGAAATTTGTCATATTTTTGTGTGATTTGTAACTAGGATAAATAAGACTAGACGAAATCACTTTTTATTTTCTTAAACTATACTATGACACAATAACTTCAAAAAACAAAACAAAAATAACCATTCAAGAAAACAAAACAAAGAAAACCTGTTGTGCTTGTGTTTGTTGTTAAGTGCTGTCAAATCAGTTTTAGCTCACAGCCACCCTGTATAAGGTTTCACAGGAGTGACTGGTGGGGCTGAACCACTGACCTTGCAATTCAAACTAACCTCTACAGCAACCCTGTATAGGGTTTCAGAGGCTGTAAATCTTTTCAGAGGCACAAAGCCTCATCTTTCTTTCATTGAGTGACTGGTAGATAAGAACTACTAACTTTTTGATTAGCAACCCAACTTGTAATTCATTATATTACCAGAGTTCCTTACTTAGGATGCTAGAAGTGTGTTTTCCTAAAGAACTATCTTCTTTTTCTTTAAGATTTGGGACTTAATCAATTAAGAGATGCAAAATAATCTTATTTTGCTGCTTTTGTTGAGTATGCACAGCACAATATACACCAACGCTTACAGCTTCTACATGCACAATTTAGTGGCCTTGATTATATTCTTCAACAATTCTCTTCCTCCCCTGTTCCTCCCCCATTGGCACAACTCACTTCCCCTTAAAGTGTTGTCTTTGTTTTTTTTACCCCCAGAAGCTAGTCTAGCTTCCTAACCTTTCACCCTTGTTGTTGCTGTTAATTGCTGTCCAGTCAGCTCTGACTCATAGTGACCCTGTATAGATAGGGTTTTCTAGTTTCATCTGGTGGGTTTGAACCACCAACCTTGTGGTTAGCAGTCCAGTAGTCCAACCTTTTACCCTTACTGTTAGGCTATTGTACACACTAGAAGAGAGTATCCTATGGTTCCCTTTCTTTACAACATTCTTCAGAGGAAGCTGTTTTTTATTTTTTAAGTTTTGATTATGAATTCTGTGATAGTTTATATGGGAGAACAACAGTTCTACATTCATCCTATCATATTTCATTTCATTGCAATGATTACAATCCCCTCAATGCATCATAATTCAACAGTATTTGCTTCCATTTCCTCTGTTTTGTTTTGGTTTTTTAATGTACACCGAAGCACTCAGGAATTATAACCATTCAAACAACAAAACAAAGGGTATACCCCACAAGCCTACCCCCAAGCCATAAGCACACAGGCCCTCTCCCTCCCTGAATCCAGAGTCCCCAGTCACTTCATCTCTGCACATCATTGTCTCTGCCTCCATCCTTGGCATGACTGCTTCTCTGGATAGGGTCCCACACTCTGCTCTTCTCCCTTGATGGTCCCAGGGTCCTACAGTCCTGGACTACAAGATCAACCACTCCCCTCTTTTTGTTACAAAAATGTCTACCTTTACATGTGCAACACTCACAGCCAATCCTGATAGCAATTATTCGCTATTGAACCACAAGAGTCTTATACCCATCTCCTTTCACCAGTCCCATCCAGACAGGTTGGAAACCACTCAGTGGAGACTCTACCTTCCCCTGCACCCTCTGAAACTAGGCTCCCTCTTGAAAGCTTGTAAACCGGTCACTTTTTGCCTTTGTATCCTCTCCTCCCATTTTGGGTGGCCAGTGTCTAAGTTGCCCATCCCTGTCAACCCTATATACTGAGGGGGTGGGAATGATCCTTGCTGTAAAGATTTGTTCCCTCTTTTGAGCTACTACATCCATAAGTATAGGTCAAGTACATAAAATTGTAGCAGATTACTCTTTTTTTCCTCTTCGTTCTTCCTCTAGTAGAGTTCTGATCAATTAGCCATTGAAACCAGGTCAAATGGGTACTATCTGCAAGTATGGGTGTTCTTGTGCATCTCCCCTCACTTCATATCAGCTTAACACTTCTGTCTCCACTCTAATCCTCTGTGGTCATGTCCTTGTCCCTGGGCCCAGGAGTCCCCAGGTTTTGCCCTACTGCTGGCCAACCAGGTCTCAATCCAGGTTGACAGGAGTCTATTGAACATGATCAGACTTAGCTCACAACTTCATTGATGTTTTTCCTCTACTTCCTCTTATCAGTAGACCAATGTCTTCCTCAATCAGCAAGACCACATGCCTGCTCGTGTATTGGAAGGGGTTTGTCCTGAGGTGTTTGCCCTGATGGGACCCAACCACTTGGAAGGGATTTGTCCTAAGGGGACCCAACTTTTTGCCTTGATGGCTCCCCGGTAGACAACTTGCTTGTTCTTGTAGTAGTCAATTGGACTGCTGTTATTGTTTTTTATTTTTTCCTGCTGATCTTTTTTTCTAGAAATATCTTCTATTCTTCTAGCTGCTTCAGGTTGGTCTACTTGTCCTTTCAAGTGGACTTTTCCACCTCAGAAGATTTTGGATAGGGATCAGGATTCCACCTATGGTCTTATGCAATGTGAAGGCTCCATAGGAAGCTTCCTTCACTGGGCAAGTTCTAGTGCCATTTTAGGTATTCCAATCCGTTGTAAGCTAAAGGTGGGCTTGCAAGCTTTCTATGATGATGTTTCTGGCTATTCCTTTCTCTCTCCCTCAAATATCTATTTTACAGTAGTAGGCAAGGTAAACCAAGATTCAGAAGATAGCCAAGCATCATAAAATTATTTCCCCCTTTTCACTCATTCAAACTATGTCTCAATCCCTGTATCCCAGAACCCTGTTGTTCTAAGGTTGGGCATACATCACTATTTACCTCTGTCCCACTTAGCCCATGCAAACCTTCCTAAATGTTCTCCCACCTGCTTTGGTCTTCCATTTCCCTCCCCCTTCTTGTATATTCCACCCTCCCCAGAACCCAAACTATCGTTTGTCTATTCCCTGCCCTATGCTCCACCTTCCCCTCCCTCCCCTTGCACCACCCCCTTCACCCCAGTAATTAACTTTTTTTCCCCCCTTTTAGTGTGGGTAATTTTTCTTAAGCTTTTACAATAATGGTCCTATGAAGTATTTCTCTGTTTGTGACTGACTAATTTCATTCAGCATACTGTCCTCAAGGTTCATCCATGTTTTGCTGTGGCTTGCAGCTTCCTTGTTATGCTTCAAAGTAGTGTAATATTCCATTGTGTGTATGTACCAAAGTTTGTTTATCCATTCTTCCATTGATGGACACTTAGGCTATCTCCATCTTTTTGCTATTGTGAATAGTGCTGCTATGAACATTGGTGTGCTTATATGTACTTGTGCTATAGCTCGTATTTCTTGTGGATAAATACCAAGTAGAGAAATTGCTGAATCATAATATATTTATATTTCCAACTTTCTGAGGAAGCACCATACTGTTTTCCATAGTGATTGGATCATTTTGCAATCCTACCAGCAATGTAGGAAGGTCCTAGTCTGTCCACATCCTTGCCAGCATTTATTGTCTTCTGCTTTTTTTATCTTCATTGTTATTGCTGATGTGAGATGATATCTCATTCTCGTTTTGATTTGCATCTCTCTAATGGATAGTGAAGGAGCTCTGGTAGCATAGTGGTTATGATTGGGCTGCAAACCACAAGGTCAGCAGTTTGAAACTACCAGCTATTCAGCGGGAGAAAGATGAGGCTTTCTGCTCCTATAAAGATTTGCAGCCTCAGAAACCCTGTACAGGGCCACTATGAATCTGAAGCGACTCCACGACACATAACAACAACAACAATGGATAGTGATTGTGAACATTTCTTCATTATGTTTGTTGGCTGTCCAAATTCCCTTCTTGGTGAAGTGTATGTTCATGTCAGAGGAAGTTTTAAAGAAAGAAAGAGACATCAATGTAGCTATTTGGGGGCAATGGAACTAAAACTTTGGTTTTAGTTCTAGTTTTGACATCATTTCCAAACCTTTGTGACCACATGCAAACATCTTATCATCTTTAAACTTCAATTTCATTTCCAATGAGCTATGAATAAGCAAGATAATCTAAATTGAAAGCTATTTTTGATTTTATCGTTGTT